ATCGGCTTTTCGTCCCCTCACTTTGATGGAAAAACACCTCTGCCACGAGAAGGCATTGAGTAGGGTCTCCTCTTCAGAAGCTGTTTGAGACGCCTGGTCGTACGGGAGCATTTCGCAAGGTGCAAGAGAAGGGTGACCAGCCACAAACCTAGACATCCACCCCGGCCACCATCCCGACATTTTGCTGTTAAGTGAAGATTCGGATACGTTGAAAGCTTATCAGGATGATGTGATTAGCAGTATAACTATGTTTCGTATGCGTGTTGTGGATAATTTAAATGGCACACTAGGGCAAGTGGTCGATCTTCATTTAAACACTTTGATTGGAGTATGTGTGTTATGCACATCATCGGATAGGCTTACACTGAATGTTTGTTTTCGCCGATGTTGGTAATAAGTGAAGAAAGGTCCAAATGAATGAACACCTTAAACCAGGTGTTTGAACTTCGTGCCAAGGGATCACTGGATCGAGGTTTTAGAGACATTGGCTGATATGGCTGAGTGACGCTCATGCACCAAAACCATTTCTTCGCACTTTTAGTCAACCCGGATTCTCTATATTTACCTTGATAGTACTGTCAGCATGCCAATCTTCTCTCTCCTACTTCAAGCAAATATGTAGCTGAGAGTTGAAACATTTATTTCCCGAGATAAACTTGAAGAGAGAGCACAACAAAACTAGATTGCACAAATTATGCCAAGGCAGATTTGGCTATATCTTAACTGGTACAATATGGCAGAAAACTACAGGATATATCTTTGAACAGTACATTAGGTTACATAAGCATACGTTAGGGACGAATCATTACACTTTTACTATTGCCAAGGCTGTGAAATTGTGATTGACAGTTCTTTTCGTACACACAGACCAGGCTTCTCGATTGCAACGGACTCCGCAATCCTAAGGCAGTCGGGGGTTGGTGTTAGCATAACTGATCTTTAATCGGCTTGTCGACTCCGGACCATGATTCGTCTTAAACTAATGTCGCGTGATAGGTGAAGCAGGCTGTTTGTGTGTTCGGTGTCCTTGAGTAAGGGTGGCGGTTGGTACTGGTTATTGAGTGTGTTGGTGGTGGGTGATGTGTGCGTGGGTAGGTGGGTGGGTTTGAGAAATCAAATTGTAGACTGACCTTTGATCATGTAATCCGGCGTTCAACCTAATATGGGATGTGCTCCTGGATCCGTGCATGCATCTACCTATCTGTTCTGCCAATGTAAGATGCTCCGCATCCACATTCAAACTGGTAAATGACGTGTGATTTGGCGGAATAGGGATGCGTGTGGTTGTGAATAAGACAATGGGGGTGGCAGCCTTACCATTGGGTCCTATCACATTCTCAGTTACTCCTGGAAAATCAGGCTGATACCGTCACCTTTAAAGGGAAAGCAAATGTAAACCTTCTTCTTGGCGACGTCCTATTGAACTTCTGAATAAAACTACCAGGATAGCAGTTCTCGATAATCGTTCGCCCCTGTCTTATGCTTGTTTGTAACCTGATGTACTGTTCAAAGATATAAACTGTAGTTTTCTGCCATATTGTATCACGGCGAAATCTGATCTGGCATAAATTGTGCAACCTAGCTCCGTTTTGCTCTGTTGAAATCTGTCGCTAAACGACAGCCAATGAAGCCTATTCACGAAAGTGAAATGAACGAGGCTCCTTTAATGTTTGTTTCATTAAAATTGTTGATTTTGTGCAACAGATCGTCAAACTTGTAAATGGTAAATATGTTTTTTGTTCACCCGTCTCCGTTTCTCTCTCTCCCCAGTCCGTTGTCATTCGAACAACTGAGAGGAATATTCGTTCCCTATATTCCACTTGGCAACTGATTACCGGTGCGGTTCACCAAATGGGTAAGTAAAATTTGTCAATAAATAACTCACCATAAAACTAAACGTTAAGTATACTCACTTCGGATGATGTTGAAAATAAATGAATGGTTAGTTTTATACTTTCGGGTTGTATCAATCATTCATTTAGTTATTATTAACACTAGTGGAATCAATGATATAAGAAACTGTTTCATGTGAAGCGGTGAACGAAATCATAAACAACTTTCTCGGTTACGTCATAGAAAAATCTCTATTTCACTGGAATGTGCATATTCGAAAGGGAAAAATTCCTATTATTACTGCGAGATCTGATTTAAACCTCTGAACTTGATAACACCTATTCCAAGTCCAGATTGCATGACAAAAGTATCACATGATTCTATTTTACGTGTTTTGTCTCACGAAGTGAATGTTCACCCAAGCAAGGAATGAAAAATGTAACCTTAATGGGTGATAAAATGCTGACGATAGAGTTATTTTATTCGTCGAACAACAGAGCACCAGAGCAATACTACCACATTCAGTATAGCCTCAACCAGAGACTACTTTGTTTCAAACAGAACAACAAAGTGGCGAACAGAGATTCATATTCGTGCTAATATATCTCAATATATATATCACTACTTGGGAATAAAATTGTCATAGAGAAATAAAAATAAAAAAATCACAGATTACTAGAAACTATTTCATCGTGAGCCCGGAAATCGGACTCATCATGATCACACATTTATTTATCCGGTCATCTGATCATCGAGATTACCCGTGAAAGTGCGTGTGTATGGAGTGGGCCAGGGAAGCTTTAGCGCTTGCACCAGTTGTTTTTGGGCACAAAGAAGGGGTTTTGCAAACGAATGCCCACCGCTTCTGCTGTAGCCAGAATCCGACAGAGAACCTGCCTCGATAATCGCCCACGAACTTTATACAGGGGTCGGATATTGGCATGAATACGAATCTCTGAAAACGAGCTTTTTCGCCACTCTGTTTGAAATGTGCTCTGTGGGGCTACTTTGTTTGGAAAGCTTCTCATCAGGCTTTGGACACGTTGGCATTATTCGGGGGAGAAACTGCTGCTTGAACTGCTGATTATATCATTTTGAACTAGGACAAACACAGTTTGTACTTGTGTACCATAGAAATAAATTACAGCTAGATACGTCATTCATTATTTGCCTACTGATACATAAAAAGTAGTAAGTTTCGTATTCCACATTCTTCAAGAGTGAAAATTCATTTCAACCCTTAGTCTAGTTCAAGCTTGGTAGATTTTTCGGGATTGTTGAAAATTTGAAGTATTCCGTTACACTATTTATGTATACTACTTAAATCCGGATTTTGTTTTCGTCTGTTTAGGCTTCGTCTGATTGGGGGTGATACATGCTTGTATCATTTGAGGGCGGGGACTGGGTTGCGGAGCAATGAACTTAAAGTATTCTTGCAAAATCCTTGCTCAGTGATTGTGGCATTTTCGAGTGATGACGTAACTAGTTCAGGTTTAAATGATTTACCATACAGTCGTTTTGTCTCAGTTTCAATCCAAATCAGATTATATGCTCCATTTTCTCACACATCTTGCTAAATTGTTTGTTTGTCCATTTTCTGTAGCCTCACAAACTATCCCCATCGTTCTGGGCATTTCTCGTAGTTCCCGGGATACTGAAGATCTTCAGAATAGTAGACCCGGTGCGGATCGTGTTCTCAAGGACAAAGAACCCAATGGATCTCGATCAGTCCTCATTCGGTGAGTATCGGATTTGCTCGGTGGTGAAAATGATTAGCATCGATTAAAAATTCTTTTCTCCATTATTGTTGTTGTTTTCATCGCTGAATAGGACCCGAATACACCAGTCAGTTATGAGAAGCTGTTTCATAACCTCTCCTTTGGAGTGAGTGTTTCTCGTCCTGTAGGTTAGGTTTGGGAAAATCTTGAAAATAATGGGCTATGCGTACTGAGCCAAAAAAAGTTGGCGAACCGATCGCTAAGGTGTTTCAGATACCGAATCTGGGTAGATATGATGGTATGAGACAGCAGTGAACTAGGCTTGTGACCGGTTTTTTGTGTACACATAGCTACTAATTTGTAACACAGTATCATATCTAATGTGGCAAAGCAGCGAACTTGGCAAATGAGAGCGAGTGAGAGCAGTCGGTAACGTAAGCTTTAAACAATGCAAGACATACCACGCGTATTGACTAGTATGGTCGAATATAGTGCTCAAATTTGAATGCGCGAGTGGTGACTCATTGTGTAGTACC